CCTTTCTAGGAGGCGAGGTGTTCTGGTTTCGGGTGTTTTCCTCCTTTTTTCGCTGGTTTCTTCCCATCTTTGTGGGTTTATCCACTTGTCGTCTGCGTAGTTGCTGACTTTTCAATTGGGTCTCTGAGTGGACACCCAGATTGTTGATGATGAAGTATTTCTGTTACTTGGTTTTCCTTCTACCAGCCTAGCCCCTTCGCTGTATGACTGCTGAGGTCCTCTCTAGGCCGTGCTTGTCTGGGGTGCACCTCTAGCAGCTGTGGCACAGCGAGGGATGCTACGCGTTTCTTTTTCTGCTATCTTTGTCCCAGGATGATGCCTGTCAAATGTCAGTCTTTTGGATATAGAGGGGTCAGGGAACTGCTTGAGGAGACAGTCTGTTCTTTTTAGGAGCTCAATTTCTGAGCTGTAAGCTCTGTTGTTCATTCAGGGCTGTTAGGCTGCTATGTTTGATTCTGCTGCAACAGAGCTCATTAAAAAAAACCCTTTTTTTCTCAAATGCTCTGTGTTGGGGGGTTCGGGCTTTATTTTTCGATGGTCTTTGAGGTGTCCTGCCCAGCTAGGAGGCAGACTAGCCACTGTTTGCCTGCCGAGACTCCGCCCTGCTCTTGTGTGATTCGCCCTGTTCCTGCAGGCTTTGCTGTGGTCTCCGCCACGCCCTGCGGTGGAGTCTCTTCGTTGTAGCGTGTTGCCTTGGCAATGGCAGGCTGCCTCAGCAGTGGGCGTGTATCTCAGTAGGGACGGGCTGCCTCGGCAACAGGAGGCTGCGTCCGCAGTGGGCGTGTATCTCAGTAGGGACGGGTTGCCTTGGCAATGGCTGGCTGCGTCAGCAGTGGACGTGTATCTCAGTTGGGGCGGGTTGCCTCGATAGTGGTGGACGCCCCTCCCACACAGAGCGTCTCGGACAGTCTGCTCGGGATAGTTTGAAATCACGGTTTTGTTCGTCCCACTGGGTATCCCGAACGCTCTGTCCCTGCAATCCCCTGGGCTGGCCTACTGTCCAAGTCTCGTTCAGTCTCAAGTCCAGCCCTCTCAAGTCTCAGGTTGCCGGTTCAACAGGGCACCCGGACAAGCGCGCCCTGTGGGGATTGCTGGGTAGGGCTGGCCGCCGCCACCCCGGCTGCCGGCTTCGCCAGGCAGACTTACTGCCTGGTGTCCCGTGTCTTTTCTATACTTGGGAGTTTCCCCGTTCTGTGGGCAACAAAGATCAGTCTAAAAATGCAGCTCGGACTCACCTCTTTGCGGATTCAACGAGAGCTCCAATCCTGGGTTGTTCTCACAGCGCCATCTTGAGCCCAACCTTCGAACTCATCGTTTTTTATGGCTGCATAGTATTCCATGGTGTATATGTGCCACATTTTCTTTGTCCAGTCTATCATTGATGGGCATTTGGGTTGGTTCCAGGTCTTTGCTACTGTGAACAGTACCAGTTAATTGAATATTGTTCAGAGAATATGTCATAGTGATGATGATAAGTAGTACCTCAGAGATGGGTTTGTCCCTGTAAAATGAAGGTATCAGGATCAACTTTTAAAAGGGAGTTACATTGAGATCAATTTAAATGATAAATAGATCATGCATGGGGAAAAACAGCCTTCTGGTGTAGAAATATAATGAATGCTAAAAGTATACCAAAGCAAAGCCAAATCAGATGTGTCTGAACAATATTTAGTTTTTCTAGAATGAAGTGTTAGTTAGAGAAGCAGTAAAGAATAACATGGAAAACTGGTTTGGGCATGTTTGTGAAGGGCTTAAAAGTTTAGGTACCATCTTATGGTTAATGAGATCATCAAGAAAGGTGGTGACATAAAAGCAATATTTTAGGTGAATTTGTCAGTAGGATCAGTGGTTAAAATGGTGATGTAGTGAAAAAATTCAAGTTATTCTGAATTTCTAAACCTGAGAAAAAAATATCTTGATATTTATTAAAAGTTAAGAAAGCCTGTTTTAGAAGGTTGTTTCCAATTCCTTCCAACAAAATAATTGTATCTCACACATTGGCATACTTTTTCTGTAAAGGCCATGTAGTAAATATTTTAGGATTTTAGACATGCAGTTTCTGGCACAATTGCTCAACTTGTTGCCATAACATAAAAGCAGCCTTAAACAATATGTAAATGAAGTCACAGGGCTCTGTTTCAGTAAGGTTTATTTATGGACACTGAAGTTTGAATTTCATGTGTCACAAATATTACTCTTCTTTTGATATTTCCCAGCTTCTTTAAAATGTAAAAACCATTCTTAGCTCGGGACTATACATAATCAGAGGGTTAGCAGGATTTGCCCAGAGTTTGAAAACTCCTGGTTTATAGAACATCAGTCAGTTTCAATCCAATATTATTTTGAAAACTTTGAATTTTCTTCTGAAGTCTTCTCTTGAGCATTTGGAAGGAGCTGATCGAAGTGGGCTTGAAGCGGTAGGAGAAGGGGACAACTATCAATAACTAACAAGTCAGACTAATCATTATTAACCACAGAGGGCAGTAGGACAACATATGTCCCAGTATACTCTAATCCAACAGCTGCTTGTCTGAAACCTTAAGAAAGAGAGAGAGAGAGAGAAAAATCAATAACTACTACTTCAAACACATTCTGAACTAAGCATTTTGATAACTGCAGAGGAAAAATCAAAAGTGATGGGCTTTGCTTTTATTCAAGTTGCTTATGCCACCCTAACGTGGTACAGTGCAGTATTTGCCCAAAGGGAGTGAGTGGCAGCACTGATGGAAGCTTAGTGTGAGAGCAGTGTGTATAGTTGAAGTGACTTTGAACAAAGAATTTTGGAGACACTAGCTAGGCTGGGGTAACTAGTGAAAAGCAGCCTGGGAATTGAATGCAAAGAGGGGAACATGGGAGTCCCAAAGGAAAAATTGATGGGACTTGCTAACTAATGAGACATGGAGGCTGAAAAAGAGAGAAAAGAAAGATATAAAATGTTTTAAAATAGTCCCATTATATTATTCACACAGCAGTGAGAGACGGGGAGGATAATGTAGTATGGAGAAAATGGGGAACATAGGAGGCTGGAGGATAGCACTTCACACAAGCAAATCACACACATACACTAACATCTGATAAATGTTAGTCTGAAATTATTGGCAAATAAGAGAGAAGGGATCCTATTAATGCCCACATGCTTTTTTTTAATTACAAGTATTATCAGATGGAAAATAAAGCAATATCATTATGGTGCTAATGGTCTAATATGTGAACAATCTCCTGCATCATATTATATAGACTCCCCCTCATTTCTTCAAAGTAATTTCCTTTTGATCACTTGGCACTGGTCATGTCTTATAAAGCAAATATATCCAAACATTTTTCATTGCTTATCTTCAGCTTTTCCCTCCCTAGTTCTGTTTGCTTATGTAGATCACAAATGTATGAGAAAACAAACGCAACAGGTCAATTAATGTACCTACAGTTAGAGATGTGAGTACTACCAGAATTCAGAAAAGAAAAGGTGACATAAATAAACCTTTCTAAACTCTTAGCACCAACTATTGGTTTTATCTACTTCTACCCTACCTAGAGCTGTCCAAAGGGATTGCTAAGTCATTTGCTCCCTAAAAAAGCCCCTTTCCTGCTATTATTATTATTCACTCAAAGCAGCATCATATGTGGCAGAGACGCATGTCAGCTCTGCCTATAAATGCACCAAGGCATAGTTCTCATAAGCAATTTTTTTACATACACAGAATGAAATAGAGATAAAATAGTAATTATTGCCTTCACTGTTTAGACTCCTATTTATAAAAACAAATTTTAGCCTGATTCTAAGATAGTCATTTCAATTGTGCTTTTTAAAAATCTTAAACACCAGAATTTAGTTAAAAATATCTTCAATTTGCCTACATTTAACTCTTAATTGTATCTTAAGACACCTATAATGGGCCGGGCGCGGTGGCTCAAGCCTGTAATCCCAGCACTTTGGGAGGCCGAAGCGGGTGGATCACGAAGTCGAGAGATCGAGACCATACTGGTCAACATGGTGAAACCCCGCCTCTTAAAAATACAAAAAATTAGCCGGGCATGGTGGCGCGTGCCTATAATCCCAGCTACTCAGGAGGCTGAGGCAGGAGAATTGCTTGAACCCAGGAGGCGGAAGTTGCGGTGAGCTGAGATTGCGCCATTGTACTCCAGCCTGGGTAATGAACGAAACTCCGTCTCAAAAAAAAAAAAAAAGACACCTATAATGAAACTAGTGTGGCCAAAATACACTTACCGACAGATTTCCTTAATTATTAACTAGGAACTATTTACAAGTATATTCTTTCCTGATTCACTTACATTTTATGAAAAATGGCAAGCTAATTTATGAAATCAGCAAAGTAGCTGGAAGTAAGCCTAGCCCATTTTATACTGAGAAAAAGAAGGCACAGAGTATGTTTTAAAGTAGCTTTCTCAAGTGAACTACAAGCCCCAGGATTAGACTTTCCCTTTGAGATACTGAGGTACAGAAAATACCCAGTTTTTAGAAACACAAAGGAGGCAGAACGACCCAGATCTGTGACCTGACACTATCCCCACCCCAAGGGGTGTTAAGACCAATAAATAACTATGTATGGTATGCTGCTTCTATGTTCTGAATAAAACAGTTATTCAGCCAACATGTAACAAATACATTACAAATTATTTCACTATTACAACAACCGTAAATAGACGTATAAAAACTTCTAAAAATTACCAGGAATAAACAAAGTGAGTAGATACAGAGAGTGCAAATCAGAATTAGACTAACAATATAACCATCTTAACCTAGCACTTAAATGCTATGTCCTCATTTCAAGACTCTCAGTTTACTTAGCTTCTGCATTAATCCAGCTGCAAACTGACTTAGTCCAGGTAGGTCTTAATATATTATTCATTGCTTTTTACTAGTGTTAAACTATGTATTTTCATCCAAACAAGTATAATAATTTTGTCAGGTTCATGTAAAAGCAATTTTTAATATATAGCAAATTGTTATATTAAAAGAAAATTTTCATATTTTTTCATAGACTTGAATCAAAGGAACCTTTCCTGTCTGTTGGGTGAGTATATCTTAAGTATTAATTATTTAATTCAAATTAATAAGAACTTCTGAGATAGTATTTTCAGTCATTTACCCTCATATTCAAAATCATGACGTATCATTGCATGCAACATTGCTATCTATGTCTTATGGAGACTTAACTAAAATGCTCCCTAGGTTGTATTGCGACCTCAGAGATGTAGCTAATGAATGTATATGAAATCCTGTATCTTCCATAAAGGCTGAACAAGGTACACAGTGATTATCCATATTCTCTTCATGTAAAAATATACTCAGATTGGTCTTAAAAATTCCTCTGAGCCATAGCTCCACCATTCCAAGCCTGTCTACCCATTGCTGTACTCCATTTCTTTTCAATCTATTATATCCTCTGTTTCTTCACCCACTTCCCTAAATCTGTCTTCACAGTCAATATCTATCTTTTCTCCTTAGCTCTCATTTCACTTTAATTTCTCCAGTTCACTCATATTGACTGCTTCTCTGCACCCAAAGCTGAGGAACCCTGAGGCAAATTTAGATAAGATGAATGCTTGTCTACTCTGATGGTATCCTTCTTAGTCACAATACGTATCTTAAGATTAATGTCTTGTTGGCCAGGCGCAGTAGCTCATGCCTGTAATCCTAGTACTTTGATAAGCTGAGGTGGGCAGATCACCTGAGGTCAGGAATTCAAGACCAGCCTGGCCAACATGGTGAAACTCAGTGTCTACTAAAAATATAAAAAATAGCCAGGCGTGGTGGCACATGCCTGTAATCCCAGCTACTTGGGAGGCTGAGGCAAGAGAATTAATTGCTTGAACCCGGGAGGGTGAGGTTGCAGTGAGCCAAGATGGTGCAACAGTTGGTGCTCTTTTGCCTGGACAACAGAGCAACACTTTGTCTCAAATAATAATAATATTGCTGACATGAGTATACATGTTCTATTTTTAGGCATTTCAAACTAAGAATAAGCCATGTTGTTTGTATCTGATTTATCAAATACTCCTGTAACTAATATATTAAAGTGTATTATGAATGGACTTTTGCACTTTCAATATTATAGATGATTTGTATCAAAAAGTAGTGGAAGATGCCATGCCTTGCCTACAGAAACGGTGCTCTATTTGATGAGGGACCGAAAGCCCTCAAATATAGGCAGCCACAATCTTCATGCTTAATGACCAGAAACAAGGAATGGGGTTAGATTTTTAAGTGAACAGATCAATTTTCTTTTATTACGTTGTGCATGGCCTATGAATATTTCTATCACTCATTAAACAGCATGGTTCCCAGTTCCTTTCAACTCTTCATAAAAGCTTTTCAGAAAGCAACTCAAATCATGGAAATAAAAATAATTGTTAAGGGATGTGGAAGAGAAAAATGGAATATATGCATTTATTTAAAGACTACATGAAAAATGAAAGGTCGAATTGGTCTGGTCCAAAAAAGGTGATAAAGCATGCTTTTTTTTCCCCTACATTGATCATCAGCTTCTATTGTTAAAAATCTCTACACCTGAAAAAAAAATCTTTTAGTTTGAATGCATATGATCTGCCCTAAAGTCAAATGGCCCGAAATAGCTTCTCTTCATGCCTCACTTTATGTAGTTTCTCTGCAGGCTTTACTGTTCTCCTGGCCATTCTGGGATGGAATCCTTTTTTTTTTTTTTTTTGGCGGGCGGGGCGGGGGGGGGGCATGCTTTTGTTTTAAAAGGCAGACCCTAAGTAATCTTGATTTTAAACTTATCAAGAGTTTGGCACTGAGTATTAAAACCCTAAGAACAACTTTACAAAAAAAAATAATATATAACTCAGCAAATACTCAAAGTGGGAAAATTAGCATGGCACACATAAGATATTTCTTATGTCTTAAAAGTAAAGTGGTATAAAAGGCAACCCAAATGATTTTGCTGAATAGATATTTTAATTTCTAGCTAAATTTTTTCATTACCTCAAGAAAATTATATTAAATAAAATTATCCAGAATTATGTATGCCAAGGTGGGTGATTCACTTGAGCACAGGAGTTCAAGACCAGCCTGGACAACATGGTGAAACCTCATCTCTACAAAAAATACAGAAATTAGCTGGCAGTGGTGGCATGCCTGTTGTCCTAGCCACGTAGGGGCTAAGGTAAGAGGATCACTTCAGCCCAGGAGGTTGAGGCTACAATGAGCCGAGATTATACCACTTTACTCTAGCGTAGGCAGTAGAGTGAGACCCTGTCTCAAAAAAAAAGGATAAAAGTATGTATATATCTCTCTCCTCCCTTGTTCAGTGAGAGGATGGATAGAAGTGAACCAATGGACATATATAAGCATACTAGGCACAAGGCAGTCTGCTCATAAGTACCATTATTCAAATTTATGACTTTTTTCTCTCAAAGGTTTTATTTTTTATAAATAAATTTTTATATATTTTTTCCTGATGCTTTATACCCATTTCTTTTTTTACATAAGTTATTAAGGTACAGGTGGTATTTGATTACATGAGTAAGTTCTTTAGTGGTGATTTGTGAGATTTTGGTGCACCCATCACACAAGCAGTATACACTGCCATATTTGTAGTCTTTTATTACTCACCCCTCTCCCAACCTTCCCCACCCTGAGTCCCCAAAGACCACTGTACCATTTTTATGATTAGCTCCCACTTACCAGTGAAAACGTAAGATGATTGGTTTTCCATTCTGGAGTTCCTTCACTTAGAATAATAGTCTCCAATCTCATTCCAGTTGCTGCAAATGCTGTTAATTCATTCCTTTTTATGGCTGACCAATATTTCATTGTATAAATATGCCACAGTTTCTTTATCCACTTGTTGATTGCTGGACATTTGGGTTGGTTCCATGATTTTGTGACTTGTCCTGCTGTAAATATGTGTGTGCAAATATCTTTATCGTATAATGACTCATTTTCCTCTGGGTTGATACCCAGTAGTGGGATTGCTGGATCAAATGGTAGTTCTACTTTTAGTTTTTTAAGGACTCTTTACACTGTTTTCCATAGTAATTGTACCAGTTTACGTTCCCACCAGGAGAGTAGAAGTGTCCCCTGTTCACAGCATACATGCCACCATCTACTGTTTTTGATTTTTTTGATTATGGCCATTCTTGCAGAAGGTAGTATTGCATTGCAGTTTTGAATTGCAATTCCCTGTTCATTGGTGATGTTGACCTTCCTTCCTTTCCTTCTATTCCTTTCTTCCCTCCCTCCTTCCCTTCCTCCCTCCCTGCCTCCTTCCTTCATACACGTGCAGAATGTGCATGTTTGCTACATAGGTAGACACGTGCCACGGTGGTTTGCTGCACATCTCTATTAGGTATTTCTCCTAATGCTATACCTCCTCAAAGCCCCCCAACCCTTTCTATCCTTCCCCTAGTCCCCTGTCCCCTGACAGACTCCAGTGTGTGATGTTCCCCTCCCTGTGTCCATGTGTTCTCATTGTTCAACAAGCACTTATGAGCGAGAACATGCAGTGCTTGGTTTTCTGTTCTTATCTCAGTTGGCTGAGAATTATGGTTTTCAGCTTCATTCATGTCCCTGCAAAGGACAGAACTCATCCTTTTTTGTGGCTGCATAGTATTCCATGGTGTATATGTGCCACATTTTCTTTATCCAGTCTATCACTGATGGGCATTTGGGTTGATTCCAAGTCTTTGCTATTGTGAACAGTGCCACAATAAACATATGTGTGCATGTGTCCTTATAACAGAATGATTTATAAATCTTTGGATATATACTTAGTAATGGGATTGCTTGGTCAAATAGTATTTCTATTTCTAGATACCTGAGGAATTGCCACACTGTCTTCTACAATGGTTGAACTAATTTGCACTCCCACCAACAGTGTAAAAGTGTTCCTGTTTCTCTACATCCTCTCCAGCATCTGTTGTCTCCAGATTTTTTAATGCTCACCATTCTGACTGGCGTGAGATGGTATCTTAATGTGGTTTCAATTTGCATTTCTCTAATGACCAGTGATGATGAGCATTTTTTCACGTTTGTTGGCGGCATAAATGTCTTCTTTTGAGAAATGTCTGTTCATATCCTTTATCCACTTTTTGATGGGGTTGTGTTTTTCTTGTAAATTTGTTTAAGGTTTTTGTAGATTCTGAATATTAGCCCTTTGTCAGATGGGTAGATTGCATAATTTTTTTCCCTTTCTGTTGGTTGGCAGTTCACTCTAATGATTGTTTCTTTTGCTGTGCAGAAGCTCTTTAGTTTAATTAGATCCCATTTGTCTATTTTGGCTTTTGTTGCCATTGCCTTTGGTGTTTCAGTCATGAAGGCCTTGCCTATGCCTATGCCTATGTCCTGAATGGTATTGCCTAGGTTTTTTCTAGGGTTTTTATGGTGTGACATCTTATGTTTAAATCTTTAATCCATCGTGAGTTAATTTTTGTATAAGGTGTAAGGAAGGGTCCAGTTTCAGCTTTCTGCATATGGCTAGTCAGCTTTCCCAGCACCATATATTAAATAGGGAATCCTTTCCCTGTATTTGTTTTTGTAAGATTTTTCAAAGATCAGATGGTTGTAGATGTGTGGTGTTATTTCTGAGGCCTCTGTTCTGTTCCATTGGTTTATATCCCTGTTTCAGTGCCAGTACCATGCTGTTTTGATTTTGTTTACTGCAGCCTTGTAATATTGTTTGAAGTCAGGTAGCATGATGCCTTCAGCTTTTTTTTTTTTTTTTTTCTGCTTAGGATTGCTTGGCTATGTGGGCTCTTTTTTGGTTCCATATGAAGTTTGGTTTTTTTTCAATTCTGTGAAGAAAGTCAATGGTAGCTTGATGGAAATGGCATTGAATGTATTTACTTTGGATAGTGTAGCCATTTTCATGATATTGATTCTTCCTACACATGAGCATGGCATGTTTTTTCATGTGTTTGCATCCTCTCATTTCCTTGAGCAGTGATGTGTAGTTCTCCTTGAAAAGTTCCTTCACATCCCTTGTTGTATTCCTAGGTATGCTATTCTCTTTGTAGCCGTTGTGAATGGGATGAATCACTCATGATTTGGCTA